TTTCTTTTTGCTTATGTGGTGCTGGGGAATCGAACCCAGGGCCTCAGGCATGCAAGGCAAGCGCTCTACCACTGAGCCACCTTCCCAGCCCCTGATCTCCATTCCTAAGAGCACTTACTCTCCAATCTTCTGCAGATCACCCCCACGGCCAGTGTACAGTGTGAGGCAACCTTTGAACACTGATGCGTACCTGTGGGGTTAAAAAAAAAAAAGGCAAGACTGAGTCTTAAGAAGATTTTTAAGGACTTTTAACCCCATCTTTCTATAGGTGCCTTACCCTTTGGTGAGCCGGATAATGTCCCCAGGCTGGATCAGATTGCCCACATCATCCCAAACAGAGATATTGATGCTGCCTGTTTTGTCTGCTACTTTGCAAGTTCGAACTTCGTGCCCGTCCTTTGTCTTAGTCACTCGACCTGACGAGAAGAGAGAAATGGGAGAAGATGGTCATGGGAATAGGGTGATGATGGCTATAGGGATGAGATCTAGATTTGATTGAGGTAGTCCATGTACAAAGAGAGCAGAGCCCAAATTCCAGTGTGTGTGTGAGTGTGGGGATGGGGGAGCCCGAAGGGGGGGTGGGGGGAGGGTCAACAGTGGAGGGGCCAGCACCATGGAGAGGTCCCTGAGTGGAAAAAGGCCCACGTGGGCCCTAGAAGACTGAGTGTGGCCAGCGTGCTATCTATTCTCTCCACTGCAATTCTCTCTGTCGTAGTCTAAGAGAGAGGAGTGAACTGTGTCTTTGGGCGCGCCCTGCCATCCTTGGAACAAGAAAGCAGAAATTCTCCCCTGCCACCTTCAGCCCTCACCGTTCCCTGCATCGCATCCCACCGCCCGCACCCGCTGCGCCAGCATAGCCACCTGTCTCCAGCACAATGAAGATAAGGTTCAGATTCTTGAGCCCGGGCTTGATATCCTTCACGAAGGTCTCCGTCGTCATGCTGCCCAAGACTTGGCTCCCTTCTGGAAAGGGGAACAGGAGAAGGAAGACTTAAGGCTTGGAGCCTTTGCCCGCCCATGCTCCATTTCCCAAGGCCTGCCTATTCACTATACCTGGGTTGGGATCAGGTTGTCTCCAACCCTGGAACCCTTCTAGAAGGTTAGAAGCGAACTTCTCTGGGGGCCTCGAATTTTTAGATCCGAACTTGGGGGCTTCTGGATAAGATGTTTGGGGGTTCGGAGGCCCTCTACCGGGATGCTTTCAGTCCCCTGCACCGGGGTAGGCGACAGAGATGAGCGTAGGAAAACTGGTGCAGAGCCACGGCATGCAATTTTACTCGCCAAACCTTCCTGAACCCTCATCCGGACAACCCGGGACTCGGTACATCCCCTTCCCCCATTCAGCGACCACCACCCACCCAGCCAGCAGGTCGGACTCTGCACGCCGCCGAGCCGCCCGCAGGGGGAGCCACAGGTCCTGCTGCCACCGGATGCTGCCCGCTGGAGCGCGGGAGTACGGACATTTCCGGAAGTTTTTCTCGGACTGAGCCCCACTGTCCAATCAGCACTGCCCTGAGCCCCACCGCCTGCACCCACCCAGCCAATCCGGGTTCTGCGATTCACGCGCTGCGACGGGGGCGGATTTCAGGTATTAAAGGAACCTGGGAGATCTCGCTTAGCTCCGTAGGAGGATGAACCACCAGGGGGCGCCTAAAGGAACATTTTCCCTTTATTTGGCTTGAATATATATGTGGGCGCTATTTTCTTTTTTCTTAACAAGCAGTGACACAATGGAGGGAAGAGATTTAAAGGCTTGGGAATTCAGCGGAAATAAAGTTTGAATCCCAGCCAGAGCCTCACTTCATTCGATAAATCTTAACTGTGTAAGTCTACCTTACAGATGGGGGGGGGAAGGAAGTCATGTAAAAAGCAGTGCCCAGGATATGATAGCCACTTATTAGTGGCTACTAATAAGTAGCCTACTGCTCCAATCCTCATCTCTATTTCTGATTTGAGGTCTTCATCACTAATTCACTAACCAGTCAGGGAGGCTTTTTGGGACAAGTGGCATTCACACCAGAGTCAGACAGTAGGGCAGACTCACCTCCCTTTTGAAAGAAATGGAAACCAAGACATAAAGAACAAGCGTCGGGGCTGGAAGGTGGCTCAATTATAGAGTGTTTGCCTCGCATACATGAGGCCCTGGGTTTGATTCTTCAGTACCACATAAACAGAAAAAGCCGGAAGTGGCGCTGTAGCTCAAGTGGTAGAGCGCTAGCCTTGAGCTGAAGAGCTGAGGGACAGCGCCCAGACCCAGAGTTCAAGAGCCACAATCGAAAAAAAAAAAGCGTCTCATTAATTCGCAAGCCACTTGTTCCTACTGCTTTTTATCTCATTAGATCTGAGTTCCGAGCCTGATCTTCAGTTCTCTTTGGGACCTGTCAGATTAACAAAAGGTAGTGTGGTTGGAGGTATGGTTCAAGTGGTAGAGTGCTTGGTTAGCAAGGGTCCTGAGTTCAAACCCCAGTGCCACACACAAGCACAACTATTGTGTATAAACCAATTAAGTGAAGACACACTAATGTAGATTATCATTTGCTTAGCGAATATCCAAAATGAACACTACTGAATACCAGATTAATCTTAAGAAGTTTTGTAATTGTAATGTCTTAGCTTGGTTAATTAATCCCTTACCTTATTATAGAGCTCTTTAGGCTCCACCATGACTTTCCTCGGAACCCTGCTGCTCTCCCGCCCAACCACGGTGCTGCAACCTAAGGAAAACAACTCAAAACCTAAGAGGAAAGATGTTTCTTCTCTTTCCTTAGTGGTTCCAGGGCACTCTATGAGTGTTTAGAGAGCCCACGTGGGTAAGGCAGGAGAGTGGCTGGGCAGAGGCGGATAACCCGTTCGACACCCTAGATGAAAGCTCTGCGGTGAGACACTCCTCCACTCCCCGCCCCACGGCCGCCTAGTTAACTGGCAGTATCCATTCCCATGACTGTGAGTCACAGGGTTGGGAGGCCCCGAGATGCTGACCACGGCTTTGGAGAGGCCGGGAAGACGGCGAGTCACATTACAGGCCAACTGCCCAGCGAGCTCGACCCGCTCCTCAAGGACACAAGACCTGCGCGGCCCTTCCAAACCAAGTGTCGCTGTGCCAAGCTATTCAAACCCAGGTTGGCCCGGGCCTTTCACGCTGGGAAAGAACATAGAGACATCCCATCCAATGGCTATAAAGTGCTGGATGGGACCATAAGAACTTCCGGTCTAAAGGGGGAGGCCTGGCTAGCCTCTGAGCTTCCTCATTGGCTGTTCGTTGCTTCCCAGTCCTGTCCAGGTTAAACAAAGAGGCGGGGCCTAGTGACGAATTTCCGCCGGGTTGCGTAGCAGCAGTGGGCGGGGAGAAGGATCCGTCAGGAACAGCGACGAGTGGTCCGAACCTTCTTCCCCCGTCCTTCCCTTTCCCTTTCCTCTCACAGGAAAGGCTGAGACCCGGTACCGGGGCCATCCGGTGGCCGCCGCTGCCTCAGCTCCAGCCAGGCCTGGGTACGTAGAGTCCAGGCCGGGCCCTGGGCGCGGGCGCGTACTGCGTCGGCGCGAGCTTCTACTTAAAAGAGGGTGTGGGAGAGGAGGGAGCGAGGTCCCACGGGGAGGGGGGCCGGGGTTCTGCATGCTGGGGGTCCCGAGTAGGCATGGAATAGGGGGAGGCGGTGCTGGGGAGGAGTTGGGAGGGGAGAAGGGGGCTCTGGGGGCTGGGTTGTTGAGAAAGGTCCACTGGAGTCGGAGCTGACGTGCGGGAGGGGCCTTGGGCTGGTCACCCGATCCCGAGCAGCACACCCCGGGGGGAACAACGTGGTGTTTAACCGGGCAATGATTGACGGGCTTGGGGACGACCAGAGGAACGTGCCCGGGGCCCACCTCTGCAAGCACGGCGGAACCTAAACCTCCGCCTTCAAAAGAGCCAGAGCTTGGCTCCTCTCCCATGCCTTGTCTTTTGGCAGCCTTGTCTTCCTCTTTCATTCCTTCCTCGCTCTTTTTTTTCCCCCTCCCACCCCCACCTCCGTGAAGGAATCTCACATTCCTCACATCCTTGGCCTTGGTTCGCAGCTTCACACATCCCAAAAGCCTGCCCCATCAAATGCAGAGAGATTGGGGAGTGTGGAGAAGGGGAGCAGAAAAAAGGGTGAGAAACCCCTTTAAGACATCTTCCTCTTTAAGAAATGGACTTTGTTTCCCCTATTAGCAAATGCAGCTGTTAGAGAGGCCGCTGTTTTTGGAGACATCTCTGTGACAGTCTCATCTCTTGTAGGGTGGTTTTAGAGTCTGACCAGAAGGCAAGAGACAGATGGTGCTTATGGCTGCTAGTCTTTCCCTAGGAAAGAGTGGGGTGGACGAGTGGTATGGAATGTTGGGAGTGCAAGTGTAATTACCCTATGTGCCCCATCAACCTTGAGGCTAGGCTTGGCTTCCAGGAGAGTATGTGAATATGTATACTCCCATGTGCACACACATACTGGGACTTGAACTCAGGGCCTGAACACTATTCATTAGCTCTTTCATTCAAGACCGGTATTATTATCACTTGAGCTATCTATCTCACATAAGCTATCATTTCTGGCTTTTTTATGGTTAGTTGGAAGGGCTGGGAAGGTGGCTCAGTGGTAGAGTGCTTGCCTTGCACAGCATGAGGCCCTGAGTTTGAGTCTTCAGCACCATACAAGCAGAGAAAGCCGGAAGTGGCACTGTGGCTCAAGTGGTAGAACTCTAGCCTTAAGTTAAAGCAGCTCAGGGACAATGCCCAGGTCCTGAGTTTAAACTCCAGGACTGGCAAAAAAAAAAAAAAGTCTCATGGACTCTTTTGTTTGAACCATGCACCATCCTGAGATCTTAGCCTCCTGAGTAGCAAGGATTATAGGAATGAACCACCAGAACAGTGCAAGTTCCTGGTAATTGAAAAGAAGCAACATTTCCTCTGGCCCTCATTATGAATTTATTTTGCCATTTTGTTACAAATGCCTTAACTGAGATTAGCCCTGTTAAGTACAGTTTGACATTTATTATCTCATTCGATTTGTAGGACAATATATAAAATAGATACAGGCCAGTATCAGTTTCTGTTTGACAGTTGGAGAAAGTGAAAACCACAGAAAGGTTCCATGGATTGTCTAAAGTTGTCTAATTGGATAGAATGTGCTAAGAGAGCTATTCAATTACATATCAGAAAAACTAGTCTTTTCCTCACCAGTATATGTCTATTGATAGTTTATGTCTATTGATAGTTTAAAGGTTTTGTTAGAATTACAGATTACACATAATTACAAAGACATTAAAAAAAAAGCTAGGCTAGGAATGTGGCTGAGTGGTACAATGTTCATGCTGTACAGTGGTACAGCATGAATGAAGCCCTGGGTTCCATTCCTCAGAACCACAAAAACAGAAAAAGCTGGAAGTGGCGCTGTGGGTCAGTGTGGCTTAGAGCTAGGATTAGAATCCAAAGTCTTCTCACTCCGGGCTCTTCATTCAGTTGGAAGAACCCTGAAGTAGGATTGGTTTTCTCAGTGTGGGGAGCTATTTGCTGAGTATGGAATTTATCACTAGGACATTGAGCATAGCCAACAGCACTGGTTCCTGGAAGCATTTCTTGAGGTGCAGGTGCACGTGCCAGAGTGTTGGGCAATAGGGTGTTGTCCAAATGATGGAAGCATTATATTTCTCTATTATGAGTGGAAAAGGAAGAAATAGTGGCAAGAAACATAGTCTCCTGCCTACCACTGGACCACATGGAAGAGAAATATTACTATTGGCTTTGTGCCTGTATCTCACTAAGTGGCTTAAAATATATGCTGAATGGCTGGACAATAGTGGCTCACATCTGTAATCCTAGATACTCAGGAGACTGAGATTTGAGGCTCATGGCTTGAAGCCATCCCAGGCAGCAAAGTTTGTAAGACTTTTATCTCTAATTAACCAGCAAAAATCTGTGAGTATGGGCTGGGAAGGCTCAGTGATAGAGTGCTTGTCTTGCATGCATGAGGCATATATAAGCAGAAAAAGCCGGAAGTGGTAGAGCTCAAGTGGTAGAGCACTAGCCTTGAGCTGAAGAGCTGAGGGACAGTGCCCAGGCCCACGGTTCAGGCCGTATGACCAGCAAAAAAAAAAAAAAAAAAAAATCTGGAAGTGGAACTTAATTTCAAATGATAGAACACCAGCCTTGAGTAAGAGAGCTGAAGAATAATACCTAGGTGTTGAGTTGAAGCCCAGAAATGCTGAGCATATTGTGGTTAATGAGCATGGACCAGACTGAGAAGAGAAAATGGACTTTGTGTTTTTTTTTTTTTCCTTTTCCTTCAGTCCTGGGGCTTGAACTCAGGCCCTGGACACGATCCCTGAGCTTCTTTTGCTCAAGGCTAACATGCTACCACTTGAGCCACAGTGCCACTTCCAACTTCTTCTGTTTATGTGGTACTGAGGAATGGAACCCAGGGCTTCATTGTATGCTAGGCAAGTACTCCACCACTAAGCCACATTCCTAGCCTAGTTTTTTTTTTTTATGTCTTTGTAATTATGTGTAAAAATCATCACTATCCTATTTTATTCTAATAAAGCCTTTAAACTATCAATAGACACATACTGGTGAGGAAAGGACTATAGATCTCTTAGCACATTCTATCAAAAGTCTTGTCTTCCTCTTTGAGGAATGAGTCTCATCAGCTTAGTCTTACTGCTTTTCAGTTGCATACTTAAAAACAATTTTTTTTTTTTGGTCGGTTGTGGGGCCTGAACTCTAGGCCTGGGAACTGTCCCTCAGCTCTTCAGTTCAAGGCTAGCGCTCTGCCACTTGAGCACAGCACCACTTCTGGCTTTTCCTGCTTATGTGGTGCTGAGGAATCAAACCCAGGGCCTTATGCATGCAAGGCAAGCACTCTACCACTGAGCCAACTTCCCAGCCAAAAACAATTTATTTATTGCTTTTTTTTTTTTGGTAGGTCATGGGCCTGGGTGCTGTCCCTCAGCCCTTCTGCTCAAAGCTAGTGCTCTACCACTTGAGCCACAGCACCACCCCTGATTTTCTGGTGGTTAATTGGAGAGAAGAGTCTTATGGATTTTTCTGCCCTGGCTGGCTTTGGACTGTAATCCTCAGATCTCAGCCTCCTAAATAACTAGGATTACAGGCCCAGAGCAACCAGTGCTCGGCACTTCTTTTTTTTTTTTTGCCCAACCTAATCTCAGAAGTATTTCCTGCTTTACTCAAAGCTAGTATGCTACCACTGAGCCACAGTTCTACCTCTGGCTTTTTTCCTTTTTTTAAATTTAATTAATTTATTTTTTTTGGGGGGGGTTCGGTCATGGGGCCTGAACTCTGGGCCTGGACGCTGTCCCTCAGCTCTTCAGCTCAAGGCTAGCACTCTTAACACTTGAGCCACAATGCCACTTCTGGCTTTTTTTCTTTTTGCTTATGTGGCACTGGGGAATTGAACCCAGGGCCTCATGCATGCAAGGCAAGTGCTCTACTACTGAGCCACCTTTCCAGCCCCTAATTTAAAATTTTATCTTTGAGCAGCTTTCCTGTGTCTTTGTGTCCTTTTCTTCCCTCTTCTCAGCTATATTTGAATCTACTGGGCCATATGCTTCCACTAGATTCTTTAGTCAGTTCTGTCCCTTTCCTGGGTAGTCCTGTATGCTTCACACAGGAACCTTCAGTCCTTAAAGGAGATAGCACATTCTCCTCAACCTGTCACCCACTCACCAGATCCAAGTCTGTCCAGTCTCACCACCAAGTAGAGAGGAGTTCCCTGACTCACCTTTCTCTTCCTTCTTCCTATTTATAGAGTGCTCCCGATTGTGACATCACATCCATCCCTTGGCGATGGAACTTGTCACTAGGAAGGAAGATTCAGTCGGTGATTAGCCAACAAGATGGGTTTCTTGGAGTATCTCCTGAGTGGCACTGAGTGGAGGCATCAGGGGGTTGGAACCTTGTAAACAGGGAACCTACCCCCCACCATTTGGAAGGTAAAGAGCTTTGGTTTGGAACCCCATTCCATGCTTCACCTCTTTTTTTCTGCCAGGGGCCTTCTGTCCTAGAAAACCTGATTTCTAAAACACCTTTGGAGGGGTTTTATTGTTGTTAAATATAAAGTTCTGTTACTGATGAGCCATTGTAGTAAAGCACCCTTTTGAAATGTGCATTGGCTTACTCGAAGACCCAAGTGCCAGAACTGAAAACAGAAGACCTGTGATTGGTTCAAATGATGCAGAAAGCTTTCTGATGTTAACCTATACTACCCTGCTTATTGAGTATTTATGTCTCACACTAATTATCTTATTTGTTGGTGGTACTGGCATTTAAACTCAGGTTCTGGCAATTGCTAAGCAGGTGTTATGCCACTTAAGCCATGCCCCCTCCTACTCACCAATTGCTTAATAAGTTTCATGTCTTTCGTGTGTTTTTTATCTTGTGTATATATGTACATATATATATATATTTTTTTAATTATTTTTATTTTTCTAGTCATGGGGTTTGAACTCTGGGCCTGGGTGCTTTCCCTGAGTTCTTCAGCTCAAGGTGAGCACTCTACCACTTGAACCACAGCGCCACTTTCAGTTTTCTGGTGGTTAATTGGAGATTAGAGTCTCATGGGGGCTGGCTTTGACTCACGATCCTCAGATCTCAGTGTCCTGAGTAGCTGGGATTACAGGCATGAGCCACTGGTGCCTGGCTTATATCCTGTGTATTTTACTAGGCTTATGCACCTTAATTTGAGGATAAGAATTGTGTTTGCTCTTTCCCCTGTATTTCTTTCTTCCTTCCTTTCTTTTCTTTCTTTCTTTCTTCCTTCCTCCCTGCCTTTCTTTCTTTCCTTCTTTCTTCTCTTCCTTCTTTCTTTCTTCCCTTCTTTCTTCCCTTCTTTCTTCCTTCTTTCTTCCTTTCTCCTTCCTTCCTTCCTTCCTTTCTTTCTTTCTTCCTTCCTTCCTTCCTTTCTTTCTTTCTTTCTTTCTTTCTTTCTTTCTTTCTTTCTTTCTTTCTTTCTTTCTTTCTTTCTTTCTTTCTTT